GGCCAGGTCAGGAAGAAACTGTTGATAAAGCATCTAATGTGATGCCAAGAACCCAGCAGTACACATTACACTATAATTGCTGATGAGGCCCAACGGTTGAGCTATCTATTGGTTTAATATTCTTGAATCATAGTTCACCAAATTCTCTGTGCTTCAGATTTCTCATCTGTAGTGAGGAGGTTAACCTGGATGATCTCTATATTCCCTTGGGTCCTGATAAGGCATGATTTCTTTATACTATCTGAAGGACTAAGGTTTGGAATACACAAAATCCCCATCGTAAACAAATGTTCTCCCTACAGCAATCTGGCTTCAGTATAACTGCAATAGGAGAATAAAAGGGATCAATGTAATTAAATGCCATAAAAATCAAACAGACGATGTTGACCATTTTAGCACCTCAGCCCCAATATACTAGAGAATTAGGGGTTTTAACTGCCACCTTTGTCACTTTGATTTCTGCCATTATTATCTCCTAAAGTGCTACGTGATACTGACTTTTTTTCCTGTGAAGTGATTAACAGATTTTATAAAAATACCCAATGAGATATTTCAACATACCACAGCTATTGCAAAGTTTGTCTTTTGGGAATTACTGTGGCATCTTGTTGACACAAAGACTGTTTCTTTGTGACTACACACTATTGTGCACCAGCTATTACAAGGAGAGTACTTCCCAACCTTACCAGCAAAGATTCCTTCAATTATTTGTCTTTATGAACTCCAGATTGTAAATAATAATAACTATTAAACTATATTTATTATAGCTTATTTCCCATACTTGGTGAAGCAAAAATAAAAACAAAAAACAAAAACATATAACTGCTACTTAGAGCGTTTGAACAGCATGAGACATGCAATCACAAGTTGATGTAATTCTCACTAAAAGGAAATGTATGTGATATTTTAATTAGCTTCATCTTAGGTAAGTATCAAATTTCTCTTATGAATTTGAAACACCAAGATATCTTGGAAACTCCTAGGTACTTAAAAAAATTTCTAGTGATCCACAGATTATAATTTGGAAACTTAATGAATATATTAGATAGTGATCAACCAAATAATGATTATCATTATTACTAACATTGTTATTTATTGGACAATTATTAATATTATATGCCAAAACTGGTTTTAAACAGTGTGCACATTTAATCTTCCTTTAATCCTGAGCCACAAAGAAGTTAAATGATTTACCTGGTATCACACAACTAGGAATTGTGTGGAGGATTTGAACCCCAGAAGGTTTGAGTTGATGGAGATGAGACCTACTGTCCTTAACCCATCAGTGGACAGAGATAGTGCTCTAGTAGGTGAATAAGAGAAAGAGAGAGATTAACATTTAACAGTTGAATATTAAGTTGCTGAAATATGGAAAGGCATCAGAACTGAAGGGTGGAGAAGTACTGGGAGTGCTGAAATGTAGCTGGAGACCAGGCATCAATCTTTACTCTGAAGATTAGTACCTGAGTTTGTGCATCTGTGTTGAGAATTCTACAAAGGTTGAATGTTGGGCCAATCAATAACTTGTTGGTGAGAGCAATGAATTCTGAATGCCTAACAACATGTTTGGTGTGGGCCTAGAAGGGTGAGAAGTTGGGTAGAGGAGGCTAACCCCATTTTAAGACTGGGAACAGGGTTGGAGGGAAGGAGAAAATGGCTGCCCCCAGACAGTGGCATATATGTAATAAGGTGGGGGAGGGGAAATGAGGGAAAAATCTCGTCTTTGGGTTAATAACTCATGTTCTAGAGTTTTAGGGTCTTTAAACTTCTGTGGAGTAGGGATTTGTGGCAATACTATACCACAGAATGCCGTAAAACCCTGGCTATTGGGCTTCCAGGGTTAGTACTCTTAACAATTTTAAGACAATGAAATGCTGAGGGAGATAGGGAAAACAAAGGTCAAGGATTTGAAAGATAGAGCTCTGGGAGATGCTAATGACTAATCCCCTTTGTATTCTAAGTCAATCACAATTTTAGCTCCTAGGACAGTGGAAATGGACTTGGGAGTGGGGGCAGAGCAGTGAATAAGGGGAAGGCCACTTGGACAAGAATGTGGGGCCTCTCTCCCTAGCTTTCTTTTATTGGAGGATAATTGCTTTACAGTATTGTGTTGGTTCCTGCTATACATCAACATGAATCAGCCATAGGTATACATATGTCGCTTCCCTCCTGAGCCCCCCTCCCACCTCCCTCCCTATCCCACCCCTCTAGGTTGTCACAGAGCACTGGGTTCAGCCCCCTGTGTGACATAACCTCCCTTAGTTTAACTTGAGCAGTTTAACCCTCCCATTTATAGTTTAACCCTCCCATTTTATATTGAGGGTTTATCCATGAGGCTTCATTTGACAGACATGCCAAACTTAAAGAAAAAGGTAAAACCACTTTCCTAAGGGAGAAAAAAACAGATGAGGGAGCTCTAAAAAGTGTTCAAATAGGTCACCTTTGTCCTTTGTCCTTTCTGAATTTAGGGGCAGACACTAGCAAGGGTGCTTTAGCTGGGAGATTGGGAAGGTCTAAGTAATGACTCAGTGAATAAAACCAATAACAGCAATAGCAGCAATAAATGATAATAATAACAACAGCTACCATCCCCCACCTTTAGGAGTTTGGAATTAACATATATACAATACTGTATGTAAAAACAGATTATCAACAAGGACCCAACTCAGGGAACTCTACTCAGTATTCTGTAATAACCTATATGGGAAAAGAATCTGAAAAAGAGTAGATATTTGTATATGTATAACTGATTCACTTTGCTGTACACCTGAAACTAACACAACATTGTAAATCAACTATACTCCAATATAAAGTAGAAATAATATAAAAGCATAGCAGTTACCGATTCAGTGTCACCTCTGATCTGGGCACAGAGCTGAATGTTTTTATAGATTGTGCCATTCTATTCTCTGTAGTGCTATGAGATAGATGCTCCTTTTGCAGACGTCATCACTTTTTTGCCTCTGAAGGAGCTGTGCAGGTTGCCTGAGGATATAGGAATAAACCAAGTAAAAGCAAGTTTGAATCACTCTCATTCTGCAAATAGATTTAAGTAATTGCTCAGGGCTTATGCAGCTGAAATACACACCAGGTTGAGATGATCTATTCCTTTGAACCCTGGCAATTCTGAGGTCAGAAGGACAAATCACAAACTGGTCCCTGAAAATTGGGAATGTCTGATAGCTTATTCCAAGCAAGAAGTGTTTTCCATAGATTTAAGTAGAAGAAATGTTTCCTTCACAGAAAGGAATGGTTTTATTGCAATTACATGTTTCCTTGAAAAGACTTTTATTAATTTGTTCATTGAACAAATACTTCTTGAGCACCAACTATGTGCTCTGCACCCAGTGACTTAAACATGAAATTGAGACGGATTTAATAAAACCCTTGATCCTGAGGAATGTCTGAAATAACCAAATTTAGGTAGAATCTATTAGTCAAGTGTGCTTTTTCAGTCTCATTCCAATGGCTATTTAAATACCCTCACCGAGTGAGGAGGGCAGTAGAGTCCTTGGATTCTAGATCATGGAATAAAAGAACCTTAGTAATGAAACAGCCCCTTTCCTGTATTTTATAGGTCAGGGAGTCAGATGGCCTTGGACTGTAAACTGTATAACCTTGGGCAGGTTACTTAACCTCTCCCAGCCTCAGGCTTTTCATCTGTAACATGGGGGTAAAAGCACTTGCCTTACAGAAACATGGTAAGGATTGCACAAGATAATTTATATCAAATTCTTAGTGTAGAACACAACATGCTCAATATATTATACGTTTACTGTTATTGTGATCACCATTTTCTGAGTGAGAGGACTGAAACTCAGAAAGGGGAAATGACTAACCTAAGATCATATAGTTTGTTGTTAGGGCAGACAGTAAAACTCAGATCTCTGTTAGCAAATATTCCTTCTACTACACCACCTATTTTATTCCCTAGGAACGGGTAATGTAAACTTCTTATGCCTGTCAGAAATAGTTTGGCTGATCCACAGAGAGGAAGGGAGAGGAAAACAAGGAAATATATAACATAAGGAAAGAATTCCTAGAGTCAGAAACCAAAACAGCCAGGGAGATAACCAGAAAGCAGAGGAGAAACAGCAGTTACCAGAGAGTTTAAATCATAAAATTGCGGCATTATAGTGCCCGCTTAATCATAGAACGGACCTCTATCCTCATTCCTTTATTCACCACAAACATGTCAATGAAATTGACTAAGCTTTTCTTTTTTCTTGGGGATGGCAGTAGGGAGGTGGTTCAGAATGCATGTGTGTTTCACAGAAAGTTCCCCTGCATACAGCTTTACTAGACAATTTCTATTTTCAAAGCAAGGGAACCCTATAACTGAAGTTAGAATAGAAGCATAAGTACTACCAAGACTTAAGGAATGATAGACTTTAAAAGATAGTGGGCTGGAGTGAAACCTAAGAGTAGAAGCTATTGAGAAGTTTAACAAAAAGAAAAAAAGGCTTAAGAGTAAAGCCACGTTGTTATTCCTCCGTATGTTGATGATATAGGTAATTACAGTGCTGGGAATGATTGATTTGTTAGATGAAGATATTCTTAAGAATTAGAAATATATGAAAAAGCCAGTCTGTCCATATGTTAAAAGCAAAGATTAACTTACAGTTGTCTAAGCAAAAGATGATATAATCTTTCCTAAAGTATTTAATCGAGGACTGCAGTATTGGTTGTGCAACGTCCAAGGAGTATTCAAAATATTCCAGGAGTTTCCTAGAAGGAACAAGGCCATTTTGCTCAATTCATGACTGCCTAGTTCCATGGCACACATAACATCTGATTAGAGTTTCTGACCCACCAATAGAGATACATTGTGATAGTTTGGGAAGCAATTACTATACAAAATGGTTGTTCCTTTTGTACTTCATCCTTTAATCTTGAGTTTTCTGATTTCCCTCTCCTGAAAATAGTTACGTATTATTCCAAATAAAATATACTGATAACACTTCAATTGCTTATTCATTTGATAACTTTTGCCTTCACAGGGCCTCAGGTACTGTTTATACAGCGCTGGACATTGCCACAGGACAAGAGGTAAGCATTAACATTCATTTCTGACTTTTACTTTCCTTCATTCATATTGATCAGAATTCTTCTTTGATGGCATTTGTGCCTGACAAAATGGGTAACACTGGGTTGACATAAGTTTCCTTCATTGGTGTCCAAAGTATCTGCTGTGAAGGATGAATTCATGATTGACCAAAGAAAAGGAGCATGGGTTTGTGGCATTAAGAAAAATCCTAGTAAGATAAAGAATTTGTATGTCTGACTCTGTTGCTGAAAAATATGGATGCTTGTGTTTAGTCTAATGATGGTAATTCATTCTTATCTTTTAATCATGATTCAGGTGGCCATAAAGCAGATGAACCTTCAACAGCAGCCCAAAAAGGAATTAATTATTAATGAAATTCTGGTCATGAGGGAAAATAAGAACCCCAATATTGTTAATTATTTAGATAGGTAAGTTTTTCTTCATCATATACTTGTTTTCTTTATGGGATATAATTTTTATGGCCAATTATTTAGGATCTATTCATTTAGCATCCATTCTGCAAATATCTTTCAAATGCTACAAAACAGCATCAGATCTATTGCTAAACTTGTACCCACTTATCTTTGTCCACCCATTAAACATTTGAAGACACATTTTATGGTGTTGCTTCTAAACATGAGCAGTTTGTGTAATTTTCTTTTGAAGACTGTGGTTCTGTATTGCCAGGAAACAGACTATGGCATATAGTAGAGAGCTGTGGTGTTTTAAACATTTAATCAAGTGTTTGGAGCCAGTGCAGTCTCTGGCTATCTAAGTAAAGAAGACAGACTACAATGGCCCTGCTTTAATGGGTGCTTTGTGATGAACTGACAGTGAGGTCTAGGCAATTGTGACTTTAATCTCAAACCTTTTTCCTAGACCAGGTAATTAATGTCTCTTTCATCAGTCATGTTAGCAGTGTGTTATTAATAGGTGTTTAAAAGCAGCACTAACTCTTTACTTGTGATTTAATATCTGTCTCATTCAATTTCAATGTGTTTGTTTAGCACCACTGTGCTGTGTACTCTGGGTTGATACAAAGGAAATAAGACCAAGTCTACAACCTCAATGAGCTTAAGATCTCGCTTTCTGTGTTTTATACCAGGTGAACCAGTGGTACACAAAGGAGGCAAAAGAGGGGCCAAAACAAGTGTCATTTAGGGGCCAACTGCAGCAGAGTCACTTTACTCTGCTTTTGTAATTTTTTAAAAACTGCATTTGTAAAAAATGCAGATTTCTAGGCCGTTCTCCATAACTAATGAGGTATTTCATTTTTGTGAAATAAGAATTTTAATGATAATTTTCCTTTTGAACAAGCTTTCTGAGTGAATCTTATGGGCACTGCAGCTTGAGCACCACTGGATAGAAAGTCTTGCTTCATACTGATGTCAAGCTGGGAGCAGGATAGGATTGTTGGGATTGTTCCATTCATTGTAATGCCTCTCTCTTGCTAAACGGGGAAAGACAGACCTGATCATACTGTTGAAATGCCTTCAGATGATCCCAGGGGTTTGAATTTGCTCTGGTGACCTGCCTTCCCGTACTTGATCATGTGGGAGGTGCTCCTCAATACCTACTTAAAGATAATGGGCATGTGATAACAGACTTCTATCAGAACTGAGACTTCAGTGCAGTAAATTCATTGCCAACTTGAATCTTTTTGATTCTCTTTTTAAAAATTTATTTTTAATCAAAGGATTAAAAATTACAATATTGCAGATTGTAATCCAATAAAGGATTACAATATTATGTTGGTTTCTCCCATACATCAACATGAATTTTTGATTCTCTTTGATTCAGTGAATATCTGAAGATTTCAGTAATTAATTGAGTAGCATCAAAAATAATGCTGAGATGTGAGTACATTATCCTATAAAATTGTGTCATGGGGAAGTTCAGTCCAGGAAGTCAACACTATGGCTTGAATGATCCAAAAGGGCTATTCACCAATCCTGTTCATTGAAATTAGTTTTCTACAGTGGAATGACTGACAGTAGTCAGTCACCAAAGACTTCCTTGCTCTTTTCCTTCTTTCCATGGTGCACTTTCATCTCATGATCCTTTGATTTCCATGCATATTCTCTTCTAAGATAAAGGAAGTGTCTCATAAGCATAACTGATATTTTCCTCTTGTTATATAACATGACCAAATGCAGAGACTGACTGCACATTGCCTTCTTAATGGAAATATAGAAGGGTCTCCACTTCCTTAGGCCTGAGTCAACGTCTTTTTTCTCTCTTGTTGTAGCTACTTAGTGGGTGATGAACTGTGGGTAGTCATGGAATACTTGGCTGGTGGCTCTTTGACTGATGTGGTCACAGAGACCTGTATGGATGAAGGACAGATAGCAGCTGTCTGCAGAGAGGTAAGAAAATAGAACATTTTTGGCTGATGAGAACACCCACATTGGCAGTTTTTTATCTTTGATTATTCAGACTGTTTATAACATCAAAGTATCAATAGTGCATCTTTTATACTAAAAAACAATTGAAGATCCTAACAACAATTTAAATCCTAACCTCTCTCCCTAGCTCCTTGTTTATTTTAGTTGCTTTGTGATGGATCTTTCTGAATTGTGTTATACCATTCACGGGGTACCATATCTAAGCCTGCCTAATGGAGTTTTGGTGAATATGGAAGTCAGTAATGTTGACATGGAACTTCTTCCTGGTTGGGGGGAATTTTTATATGATAGTTATTTTGCCTTGTCTATGCAATATAAGCCATGTACATATACAGATCACATTATAACCCCATCATTTTCTGGAAGGCAGTTTACACGAGGTCCTCCCTCAGTCCAGAAAGTAGTTGCTTTCACAGTACAATCTTGAAACTCCCTCAGACCCCTCCAATAGGTCTGAGTGTCTGCCTGTTTTCTAATAACAGTGACATATCCCCAGTTTCAAACTAAACTTAGGATATTTGTTATATTAATTTTCTCAATATTAAATAAAAAACTCCTCTTTGGAGTCTTATCTTGAGCATTACCCTCTACCCTCTATTCATTGAAGTTCTATAGACACAAGTAGGAACTCTGACCCACTGAAACTTGAAAATCAGTGATAGTAAAACAAAGCCAAATAATGTCAGCTAGCCTTTCATTGTTTTTTATTTTAAGTTATTCACTTAAATTTCCTCCTTCTGCTGTCCTCTCATTCCTATTTCTTCCTCCCCAAATATGTACACATATCCACCAAATTCATATATTTTCTATTCATACAATAAATCAGACTTAAAATATTCAGGGGATTCTTCAGCCTTTAGCCTGTGGTTTCATCTTTTAGTATTACAACACAAAGCCATTTCCAAACTAGTACCTATAGTTACTTCAGAGCCTAGAAGTGGTTCCTGAACCTGGCTATCTGCCCGTCAGAACTAGCTTGGGGCACTTGTTTTTTGTTTTTTTTTTTTAGTTGGAGGCTAATTACTTTACAATATTGTAGTGGTTTTTGTCATACATTGACATGAATCAGCCATGGATATACATGTATTCCCCATCCCGATCCCCCCTCCCACCTCCCTCTCCACCTGATCCCTCTGGGTCTTCCCAGTGCACCAACCCCGAGCACTTGTCTCATGCATCCAACCTGGGCTGGTGATCTGTTTCACCCTAGATAATATACATGTTTCGATGCTGTTCTCTTGAGACATCCCACCCTCGCCTTCTCCCACAGAGTCCAAAAGTCTGTTCTGTACATCTGTGTCTCTTTTTCTGTTTTGCATATAGGGTTATCGTTACCATCTTTCTAAATTCCATATATATGTGTTAGTATACTGTAATGGTCTTTACCTTTCTGGCTTACTTCACTCTGTATAATGGGCTCCAGTTTCATCCATCTCATTAGAACTGATTCAAATGAATTCTTTTTAATGGCTGAGTAATATTCCATGGTGTATATGTACCACAGCTTCCTTATCCATTCATCTGCTGATGGGCATCTAGGTTGCTTCCATGTCCTGGCTATTATAAACAGTGCTGCGATGCACATTGGGGTGCACGTGTGTCTTTCAGATCTGGTTTCCTCGGTGTGTATGCCCAGAAGTGGGATTGCTGGATCATATGGCAGTTCTATTTCCAGTTTTTAAAGAAATCTCCACACTGTTTTCCATAGCGGCTGTACTAGTTTGCATTCCCACCAACAGTGTAAGAGGGTTCCCTTTTCGCCACACCCTCTCCAGCATTTATTGCTTGTAGACTTTTGGATAGCAGCCATCCCGACTGGCGTGTAATGGTACCGCATTGTGGTTTTGATTTGCATTTCTCTGATAATGAGTGATGTTGAGCATCTTTTCATGTGTTTGTTAGCCATCTGTATGTCTTCCTTGGAGAAATGTCTGTTTAGTTCTTTGGCCCATTTTTTGATTGGGTCATTTATTTTTCTGGAGTTGAGCTGGAGGAGTTGCTTGTATATTTTTGAGATTAATCCTTTTTCTGTTGCTTCGTTTGCTATTATTTTCTCCCGATCTGAGGGCTGTCTTTTCACCTTGCTTATAATTTCCTTTGTTGTGCAAAAGCTTTTAAGTTTCATTAGGTCCCATTTGTTTATTTTTGCTTTTATTTCCAATATTCTGGGAGGTGGGTCATAGAGGATCCTGCTGTGCTTTATGTCGGAGAGTGTTTTGCCTATGTTCCCCTCTAGGAGTTTTATAGTTTCTGGTCTTACATTTGGATCTTTAATCCATTTTGAGTTTATTTTTGTGTATGGTGTTAGAATGTGTTCTAGTTTCATTCTTTTACAAGTGGTTGACCAGTTTTCCCAGCACCACTTGTTAAAGAGGTTGTCTTTTTTCCATTGTATATCCTTGCCTCCTTTGTCGAAGATAAGGTGACCATAGGTTCATGGATTTATCTCTGGGCTTTCTATTCTGTTCCATTGATCTATATTTCTGTCTTTGGGGGCACTTGTTTTAAATGCAGATTCCTAGGTCCCACTCCAGACCTTCTGAATCTAATCATATCCCAGATGCAGATGCTTACTATATCTGTAACAGATCAAGCCGAATCCATATCCTCCAGACAAGTAGATCCAAGTATGATTATAGTAATTGGTTCATTCGACTGTATTAACAATGTAGTGCTACTTACCACACCATCACTTTTTGTTGCCAAGTCTGATTCAGGAGCTTTCATATGTATAATGCTAAGTTGCATCACTGATGTAAATGGTAACATGATTTCAAAATGTCTTTGAAACATTTAATTTATTTCACCTGACAACTTAAGCTTGTACCTTTGCCCAAAATTTATCTAGAAATGAAACACATTTTTAAAAACATTTTGTGATATAACTAGAACTTTTTTCTTCTTGATACAATAGTGCCTCCAAGCTTTGGATTTCTTGCACTCAAACCAAGTGATCCACAGAGACATAAAGAGTGACAATATTCTCCTTGGGATGGATGGCTCTGTCAAATTGAGTAGGTATTATGGTTCAGATGGCATGTGAGAGAGTGTCAGGGGATTTATGCTTTTTTTACTGTCTATCTTGAGAAGAAAAGGGCTCTTGAGAGTGAGGGTTTGAAGGCATTTAGAGGCCAGTTTGAGGTGAAGCATTTTTTTCACATTGTATTCCTGTATTGTGACCAGGTTTGGGGAGGGTTAATAGTTAAGAATATCTAGTAGTTTCTATCTGCTGGATGACAAATACCTAATAGTAATACATAATTATACTATAATAGTAAAAAATAATACTAAAACATAATAAAATCTTAAGATTAAAAATCAAAAAAAATAAAAGAAAGATTCTATAAGTTAGAGGGAACAATATGGGGAGGGAACCAGGATTGAGGTCTAGTAAAAATGATATCACTCAGTTACTTCAGACTAGTTTAAAGTCTGGAGCAGCCGAGAGATCGGATAGCAAAAGGATATGAGTGAGGCAGTTGCAGAAGCTCAGTGTCTAAAGGAAGGTACAACTCTATATCTGAAAGTGACCTCTTGTAAAAGAAAAATCAGTTGAGCTGATTTTAACTGACTTTTGTTCTCTGCAGCTGATTTTGGGTTCTGTGCCCAGATCACCCCTGAGCAAAGTAAACGAAGCACGATGGTGGGAACTCCCTATTGGATGGCACCCGAGGTGGTGACTCGAAAAGCTTATGGTCCGAAAGTTGATATCTGGTCTCTGGGAATTATGGCAATTGAAATGGTAGAAGGCGAACCCCCTTACCTTAATGAAAATCCACTCAGGGTAAGTAAAAAGAATACTCAAGTCCTTCATCCCCAGGGAAGGGGAAAAAGCCAAATGTCATTTCTTGTCTCCACTAAAAGTCTCCAGAATGGGCTCTTTGATGGGACAAGTGACATAGAAGCTCCAGATTGTAATTTTCAAAATTACTGTGAGTTATTTATTTTCTGTTTCTCTTAAGATGTCTCAACAGTTTTTTCAAATGCTTTGATAACACTATTTCTAATGTCAGGGGTCTTTAAAATTCTGTAGCATAATTTTCTGCTGTCAAAAAAATATATAGCTTTTTTTTTAAAGCAAGATGTGGGAAGGAAACAGTATTTTTATCACATGCCACAGTTAAATGATCTATATAGGAAACACTTACTTTTAGCAAAGTAAATAAATGCATTTCCAGAACAGCTGAAATTTTTTAAATTAGATTTTGTTTCATTATCAGTAATGATTTATTGAGCCACAGCAGCTTGGTGGATATTGAATAGAGCACAAGATAGACACAGTACCAGCCTGGCAAAATCACAAACTTAATTAGACTGTCAAGTTAAAAATGAATGGAAATTGTTTGTGTTGGGTAACTCAGTTTGCTACTGCAAAATCAGAGGTTAGATCCTTATGTGGTCTGGTTACTTCTGTGAAGAGAAAAGCTCCATTTTGGAGCCTAACACCCATTCAGAGAAAGCCAAAGGAACATGAAAGAAATGCTTGCTCAGTGCAGAAGTGAGCCAGGAGCTGTTTTGTTGAATAAAGCCTAAAGGTAAGTCAGATGCTGTGTTATATATATATATATAAAGGGCATCACACTATTAAGAAAAGGAAACATGTACCAATTCAAATTCTAATCTCAAATCCTATGCAGAGTACCAGTGCCAAAGGCATCTTGCATATTGTTGGCTTCCTTACCACTAAGAGTCCAAAATTGAATTTTATCATTAGTATATAAAAATCATTGCCCTTAGTACATGGTTAAGCGTTCACACGTTCAGCTTATAAAATCCATATGTAAGCCAAATATATGTGGCTTTCGGTACAGGTAAAGAAACTTACAGACTAATTATCTAGTTATTTTGAAATGGAGCAGTTTGTAATTGGGAGCTGCATTCCCTGTGTATGGAGAGGGGGACAGTGTCCCCTTTGCCCCTTCCTAATTCTTCTCTGCTAGTTGGCCTCTTGTCTTAGACCCGGCACTGATTAGAAAATAACAGATAGGAGTGAATGCCCTAATGACTGCTATGGGCTATTGCTCTGGACTCATGAAACAATCTGGAAGTGAGACGTGCACAGTGATTAGCTGCCTGCAGGGCTGAGTGGAAAAAGAAGGGGCATTTTCCCACTGTTTGTGGGTCAGTCCTCCAGGAACTTAATCAAACCCACTCCTGACCTATGGATAATTACATGGGCTTGTCCTTATTGTCTAACCACCTTTGCCCTTTAAGAAGTAGCAGTGAAAGAACACACCAGGCCTCTTGTTTCCATGGATTTCCTCCTCTAAGTTTTCAGAGTTTGGAGGCACTAAACAGATTATGGCTATTTTGCTTTCTGCCTTCTAATGAGTAATTTACAGCTTGCAAAATTTCAGGATTAAATAAATGGCTCTGTAAAGCAGTTGGCCTCAGTAATGCATTTATTACCTTCTTCAGTTCCCCAAGTACAATTGATCGCTCTTCAGCAAGGCTGTTAATTGTTAGAAAAAAGGAAACAAGTTGTAATCTTTATGGGCATCTTCTAGCCTGGGATTAGAGCTAATAATTAACAGCTTGTCTCTTAGGATCCAAGCCTTGTATCTAAACAAGTACTTGTAGATTAACAAGCCACAGGTTCAGGAAGCCTACATTACAGCTATAACAAAAAGATCCGTCAGAAAGACCACCCTGTTGAATTCCACTGATAAGGATTTACTGTAACTATGCTCATTATTCTCCATGTGTGATCAACCTCCAGTGACTCAATCAAGTCCGTATGGAGGCAGCCCTCTATCTGTTTGCCAGGCGCCACAAGGACTTTTTAAGTTTTGATTTTGAATATGTTGTCCTCCTGTTCTCTTAAATAAAATCCAGTATCCCTGGCTATATGCCCTTATTTGGGATTTGAAAAATATAGTCACTGAAACGCTGGAGAGGTTGGACAGAAAAACACATACCATGACCTTGTTGGAAGCTTGTGTTTTCTTGAATTCTGGTGACCAGAGCATGTGTGGAGAATAGAAAATGGCAGAACTGGCTTAGTCCTTCTTTCTTTAACATCCTTCCAAGACTACCACCTGTCTACCACTTAGGCTTTGAAGATGAACAAAAGGAAGGAAGTGGAAGTGAGACAGAGTGGTAGATTGAAGTCTAACATTTTAATATGAAAAGCATTTGGCCTATGGAGTCAGGCAGATTTGGGTAAGTCCTGGTTCCACAACCTGCCAGCTCTGTGACCTTCAGCAGGTGACCCAAAACCTCTATAAGCCCTGTTTCCTGTGTGTAATTGGGGACAATATCTCTCTTGCAGAGTTAGTATGAAATCTAAATGAAATCATGCATGTAAACACCTAGCGCAGTGTCTAACTCATTGTAAGGAAAGGGAGAAAGAGCTTTATATATCAATTGAAAAGTGAGAAAGGAAACAGAACAGATGCTTAGAATACTTTTTACCCATTCATGAAGGGAGATTGGATTCCCCACACCCCCCAAGCACTTCCCTTCCACAGTAGCATCCCCTTGAAGAGTGGAAGGTCCTACACGGTTCAGTATAAATTACCGTGAACAGGTTACACTGAGGAGCAGAAGTTACTGCTGGGACTATACATTGGAAGGCTGTTGGCATTTTGCTGTGGCTTGTGTGTGTGTGTGTGTGTTTCTGTTGTGTCAGTTAGAACTGAGCAAGCCCTCTTGGAATACTGCCTGTTAACATATCACTGATGCAAGGAATTAGCTACGTTTCCTCCCTAGTTTTAAAGCAGTTGGTATTTTTTTTAAAGTAAATTGCTCTGTACTAATTGACCTAATTTGCTCATAAAAGGGCTTTTAAAGATTAAAGAGTTGTTAACTGTACCAATGTTATAAGGTTGGTACTCTTTCAGAGACAGAGAGGAGACAAGTTCCTCACTGCCTGAAGTCTGTGCACTCAACGTAATTGGCCTTGAATGTGTTGTTCTGTGACCCACAGCCATTTTTGGTGCAGCCTCCAATAATAAAGTACCTTGTTCTTTCTGTTCACCAAAGTGACTGAAGTCAAATTGGAACTTTCTCTGTGGATATGCAAATCAAATGTTGGTATACTGCTCCTCTCCCCAACTTGTGTGTTCGTTTGAAGATATCTTTTTATAAACCTATGATTATAATGACCTGATTCTAAATAAGGAGGCACAATAATTTCCATAAAACAAACCTTTGGTTTGTTGTTGTTTTTTCCTCAGCACTAAGAGAGTGCCTCTATTAACTTGGCATTCCACATAATGGGGCTGTTCTTGTCAATGGGTTTTGAGGGGTTTTGGTGTTTGTGAAACGTCTCAGTGATATCCAGAGGAGGATCCTACTGGACCCTGTGGGTGGAACCCCTTTTCTGTGTAACTTTCCAGACCTTTATCCTACTTGAGATGAACTTTAGGTGTTCTCTTTCTACCCTTGCTTTAAGCAACTGTGAAGCCATATCAAACACTGGATCTTTGGAAGACAATTATCAGTATCAAAAAGAGATATCTGAAGGCTAAAAACAGTATTTAGGAGAGTATGGGATCCACCTATCTTATACCAGTGGTTCTCCTCCTTGATTGTACATTGGAATCCCTGTGAAGCTTCAAGACCCGATGAGGTCAGGTTTTTACACCAAGGACTAGAGCAAATAGCAATACAAAGCTCTGTGTCTAGCCCTTTGTAGAACCCTGTCTAAACAGAAAAAACCATTCTTCATCAGTCCTCTTTGAGCCTGGTTGTTCAACCAGAAAAGAGCATGCTCTCATTCTGGGCACATTTCTCCTTTTCATCTAAAAAAGGCATCATGAATTACTTTGTCAAAATCCTGGCACATTCTGGCATTCTTTGATTTACTGTTTCCAGCAACGCTATCAAAAAAGAAGTGACATTAGTTCAGCATATACCTCTGCTATGCCAATTTTTTTTCAGTTTTGCTTCTCCTGTAAATGGAGTCCATCATTACCACCTGATAGTTGTTGTGTACATCACATGTATTGGTGATAATAAAGCCATCAGTCTGACTGCTCATAATTAGGAGTGTATAACCTGTATGGTGAGAGAGAAGGGTGGGAAGAAGTATCAAGTGAGACCTGTTGTCTACAGGAAGAGGCTCCCTACTCCCCCATCCCCACACTTGAAACACTGCACAAGTGTTAGTTTCTTCTTTTTTATTATAGAACTAGGGGAATTGTGGTTAGTTTTTATGCCTAGAGAAGAGAATTAAGCAGAATAGAATCTCTAGCACTAAAAAGCAGCAACTAAGGGCCAAAGTGCTTTGAGCTCCCTCCAACCACTGGAACCTGTGTTGTGGACTGGAATGTCTGGGTTTGATGGAATTAAAGTCAAATATAAACTTCCTGAGTGCCAGAGAAGCAAGCGTACTTTGCTAGCACTCTGTCAATATTGTTTTGAATGTATTTCAGGAAGAGCTGGGAGCATTCCCTTCTTTTTCCATAAGCCTCTATGGAACAGCAAGCTTTATTGATGGTTTGTTGACACTCTGCCTACTTTGAGGGTAAACCTATGCCTAAAAGGAGGGGTGAGTTGGGATAATGGCAACTAAAATAATTATAGAACAGTAACAGAGTCTCTTTTTAATCAGAAAAATATTGCCTGTCAAAACATAGATAGCTCTTAAGACTCATTGGTTGTCAGGAATTTAACATAGGAAAATGGGACCTAGCCATAGGAAAGCTGCAAGTCTCATTTAGATTGTAATTCAGAAGCAGACAGTTCAAACCAGTGATTTATGATCCAGAAGACAGCCAAAGGAGAAACTGATTCCACAGCAAACAAAAGTCTGAGATTCTGACTAGGCGAAGATGAGGC